ATTTGGATGGGGTCACATGTTGCAGCAGAGTTATGTTAAGGTATGAACCTTGTGTTAGGATCGTGTGATGGTTCTACGGTGTGTGATGGATTTTCAGCATTTCTTTGTGGCGGTACTTGTTAATCTTGCAGGGCAGTTCTCTCATTTGAGTCATTTTCCATGATTGAGTACATTTGGAATGTTGCTTATTGGTGCACGGATTACACGGGTTGTGGCTTTAGATTGTATTGATGTGTCATGTCACTAGAGTGGTCGTGTTGGATGAGATGAGGTCATTGAACCTAGAATGGATACTATCAGAATTGATTACAACATGTTTGGAAGGATAATGTCAAAAGTCGGCTTAGAAATTTGCTATGGTTTTTGTCGAAGGAGAGGGAGCTCCACGACTGGTGGATCTGATGAATGGTTACGAGTTTGTGCGTGTTTCTTTCATTATTGGTAGTGTAAGAAGGTTTTAGAATGGAGTCTTGTTAGATATGAGGTTTGTTACTGACATTGGGTTTGTTTTGAGCAGCCACTGTGATTAGAAATCATTGCTTCGAGCATTTGAGCTATGTGGTATTTGAGTTTTGAGTATTTGAGTTATGGTTACAGCTTTTGGTACAACTTGTTCAGACATATACAGTGTGTGGGTTGCGGGATTCAGATCTTATAAGAAATTTCAAATGTTAGAAATTAGGTTATAAGGCTTGTGGGCTAGGTTGAATTTAGAAATTTCGGTTATGTGGTGTTATCAAACCTATATGGGATAAAGTGACGTGGGATCACCCCGGTTATGTGCATGGCAAGGTCATACGGTGGTTTGACGGCTTTGAGAACAACTCTGGACACGTTCAAGGACGAACGTATGTTTAAGTGGGGGAGGATGTAACGACCCGACCAGTCATTTTGAGCATTTGCACTTCACTCGGTGGCGTGAGTAGCTCCGTATGATGTATTTTGACTAGTATGAATCGTCGTTTTGATTTTTAGGTTATTCGGGACTGATTTGGAAGAATGATTCTCAACTAGGGAGCTTTAAAATTGAAAGAGTTGACCAAGTTTGACTTTTTAGTATTTGACCTTGCATTGAAGTTTTGATGGTTCCGTTAGCTCTGTTGAGTGATTTTGGACTTAGGAGCACGTTCAGATTGTGATTTGGAGGTCCGTAGTGGAATTAAGCTTGAAATGGCGAAAGTTGGAATTTTGGAAAGTTTGACCGGGAGTGGACTTTTTGATATTGGGGTCAGATTCCGATTCCGATTCCGGAAGTTGGAGCAGGTCTGTAATGTCGAATGTGACTTGTGTGCAAAATTTGAGGTCAATCTAACGTGATTTGATAGGTTTCGGCATTGGTTGTGCAAGTTTGAAGTTTCAAAGTTCATTGATTTCGAGTTGAGGTGTGATTCGTCGTTTTGATATTGTTATGTGTGATTTGAGGCCTTGAGTAGGCCCGTGTTATGTTATTGGACTTGTTGGTATATTCGGACCGGGTCCTGAGGGGCTCAGGCGTGTTTCGGATTGTTTTCGGACTATTTTCCTCCATTTTGGCCTTGCTAGGGTGTTCTAGTTTTCTGGTGCACGGATTGTTCTTCGCGATCGCGGATCAGTAGATGCGATCGCGTAAAGGGAAAATGGAGCTGGGTTGTTTCTTATTCGCGGACGCGATTGGCCAGAAGCGATCGCGTAGCTTTGTGTTGAAGACTGTCCGCATTCGCGTATGAGGAAATGTGGTCGCGAAGTGTATTATGGTGGCAGATTATTTTATTCATCGCGAACGCGATGGTTTTCCTGCGCTCGCATAAGAGAAATGCCTGGGCAGATTACAAAGTACTCTATTTCGAGAGTTTCGGCCATTTTTACATTTTTGGAGCTTTGGAGCTCGGATTGAGGCGATTCTTGAAGCAATTTTCACCATATGAATTGGGGTAAGTATTCTATACTCAGTTTTGGTTATATTTCATGAATGTATTTTTAATTTAAGCTTTTGGTTGATGAATTTTGAAGAGGAAATTGGGAATTTTGGCCTGAAGTTTCATAATGCGAATTTTTGAGTTTTGAACGTCGAATTGAAGTCTGATTTGAGTGAAACTAGTATGATTGGACTCGTAATTGAATGGGTTGTTAGATTTTATAAATTTTGTCAGGTTCCGAGGTGCGGGCCCGGGTTGGGCTTTTGGCTGATTTTGGGCTTTTGATTCAAGATTTGATTTTTTCGATCGAGATTGGTTCCTTTAGCATTGTTTGATATATTTGAGTTGTTTTTGGTTAGTTTTTGAGTCGTAGGTCGTAACGTTCATGATGGCATTTTGGAGCATCGCTTGGCTTGCTCGGTATTGGAATTGTCTTGCTCGAGGTAAGTAACTCTTCTAATCTAAGTGCTGAGGGTATGAAACCCTGAAATACGTATTATGTGATTGATATTGAGGTGAAGCACATGCTAGGTGACGGGCGTGTGGGCGTGCATCATGTGAATTGAGACTCTGTTGTTCTCATGGCACTGTATAGTGGTCTTACTTTAGTGATATTCGTGTTTTCACCATGTTATAAAGTAGTTAAGTTGTCAGTCATGCTAGATATCATGTTTAGGCATTATGCCGATACTGTTTTGACCCGTAGTGGTCATCTCTTACTGTCATCTCACTGATTTCATTGATATTTCATACTCAGTGATATCCATGCATTCATACTATATCTCAGTCTCAGATATTATTTATTGATATATTATATCATTTTTGTCGGGCAAGTCTCATGACATTGCGAGCCCGTGAGTGAGACTGGAGAGATTGATGACTGAGTGAGGCCGAGGGTCTGAGTGAGCGTGACATTTTGGGATCGAGCTGCACTTCGCAACATATTATATTGATTATATTTTATATAGATCGGGTTGCACATCGCAACGAGCTATATATATATATATATATATATATATATATTATTAGATCGGGTTGCACGCCACAATAATATTGGATCGGGTTGCACGCCGTAACAATATTGGATCGGGTTGCACGCTACAACAATATTGGATCGGGCTGCACGCCGCAGCAATGTAGTACTTGGGCTGAAGAAGCCCCTCCGGAGTCTGCACACCCCCAGTGAGCGCAGTCGACTATATATATGTGGATCGGGTTACACGACGCAACGGGTCTTATGGTCGTATATGGATCGGGCTGCACGCTGCAACAGGTATTGTACAACGCTGAGTGCTTGAGTGTGCTGAGCATTGAGCATAGTGAGAGAGAATACGAGACAGTGAGATTGAGTACTCTGAGATTGTGGGTACATGAGCTCATCATTGAGATGCATTGTATTTGACATGCGTACTTGAGATACATGCATAGAGAAAGCATTTCCTTCTGCTACCCGGTGTTGGTGACATTTATGATTTCACATGTATCTTGACATGTAGGCATAGAAACGTACTTTCTTCATGCTATCTGAAAATGAAACATCTTACTTATTATTGAAAGAAGTTTTTGGAAAAAATCGCAGTTTTCGAACTTACTCGTATTTTGGTATTTTCTATAAAAGATTTGGGTTTTCACTGAGATACCTGAAAGAAATGTCTATTTGTTTTTCTGGAACTGTGAACGAACTGAGCATTTTATTTCTGAGATACCTCTTTTATTACTTGTACTATACTGTTATGAACTGTTGTGGAATATTGGTGTTGGACCCGACCTTCGTGTTAGCTCATCACTACTTTCAACCTAAGGTTAGGTTTATTACCTATTGAGTACATGTGGTCGGTTGTACTCATACTACACTTCTGCACCTTGCGTGCAAATGTTGGTTGTTGATGTTGTTGTGTTCGATGGGAGTTGGATTGAAGATGTACCTGCATCCCGATTGTAGCTGCCTCTTGTTCGTGGTAGTATTAGATCTATAAAACTCTGTTTATGTGCTTTTCAAACAGACGATGTATGTATTTCATTTCCGCTTTGTAAACTCTATTCTTAGAAGCTCATAATCTGTACTACCAGTTCTTGGGGAATGTATAAAATTCAGATAATATTTTTATTTAATTGCTTAATTTATTGTTATTGGAATTGGTTAGTGGTTAACTAGCGTTGGGTTAGGTGTCATCACGACTAGTTGGATTTTCGATCGTGACAAAATTGATCATTTGTGTAACTTTTAATGATGTCCTTTTATTTTAAATTCATGTATTATGTTAATGTAATAATATTTTTCGGCATTTAGATGATTGTTGCATTATTATACATAAAAATTCTCTTATTAATTAAATTTTATTGTTCCTTCATATAAATAAATATTTAAATCACCGCGTGTCATTATTAATGTGCAACGCACGTTCATAGATACTAGTATAAATAAAAGAGAACTGAGAGAGTTATATGAGTTTAATAATGGGTGATAATCTCATTCCCGAGCGTAAACAAAACAAATCCTACTCCCTCCGGTCCACAATAAGTGACCAATTTGCTTTTTTATTTTGGTCCAAAATAAGTGTCCATTTATATAATCAAGAAAAAAATTAATTTATTTTTCCAAAATTACCCTTATGTACGTATCCCTAAAAAGTCTTTTACTCCTCACATTAACTATGCTGTAATATTTAATTAAGGGTAGTTTAGTCACACTAACTATTTTTGTCTAAAATTTTGTATTTTCTTAATTGATGTGCCTGAAATAAATTGGTCACTTATTGTGGACCGGAGGGAGTATTGCACATCGTAAATTAGTGTATTTAGGAAAGACATGACAACACTATTAAAAACCGTCTCACATATAGCTGACACTGTTAAGTTTGATGACATTGGAAATAAAGCCGTCATGATCATAGTCTTAAAATATTTAAAGATGATCTAATTAAAATAAATAATCAAGCGCGTCGGCTGAGTATGTAAAGAAACATCTAAAAGTTTTTATTTATTCTCCCATCTTATATTTTCTTTCGTTTTCAAAATCGTTTTCACTTTTGTTTTAATATTTCAAATAAAATCAGCATCCATAACCTGTCAATTGCTCCACCCTACCCGCACAAATTAAACCACAGTAGCCTCTAATAATGATGAAATAAAAATGCGACAACAAAACCTTCTCTCTCATATATTTTTATTTTAAGCAACCTTCACCTTTATCAACACACTCTTCTTCGTCTACTTCTTCATCTTCTTCTTAAACGTCTGTCAATGGCATGTTATACAACCATAATCACGGTATTTTTGGTCCTGAACTTAGTTCAAGGTGCACCTCAAGTGCCTTGTTATTTCATTTTTGGGGACTCGTTACTTGATAATGGCAACAACAATGACCTTAACACAGCAGCAAGAGCTAATTATCTACCTTATGGAGTTGACTTCCCCGACGGTCCAACTGGTCGATTCACCAATGGCCGCAATATGGCAGATTTCCTAGGTGATCTTAACTCTCTCCCTTTTCTGCTCCCTCCAAGTCCAAGATTTTCATTTTTTGCGGTAAAATATGCGACCATCGATCTCATCTGAAATTTTTAATCGGAAAAAATTAAAGTACACTTTTATTTACTTAATCATATATTCATCGCACATCTTTTAGAGTATAATATTCAACATACATTTTCATGTGCATAAGCTGGCTTGATTCTTTTCAACGAGGAACTGTGAGGTCATGACCTCTATACCATATTGAAGTGTTTGGCCATCCTATCTAGAAGTCTAAAGTAGCTGTTACTTCCCCGTATTTTTTATTTCTAACCTGCAAAGCATATTGTTTTGTTATTAGTCTTGTTTAATTTATGCTTTAGTTTTGAATTTGTCATATCCATAAATTTATCTCATTCAATTGTAGGGGAACACCTTGGTTTTGATAACTACATTCCACCTTATGCTAGTGCAACGGGTGATGAGATCTTGCAAGGTGTGAATTATGCATCTGGTTCAGCTGGAATTCGCAACGATACAGGAAATCACCTTGTAAGTATATAGAATGGGATATTTGCGACCCATTCCATCCAAGTATGCAATAATGTCTTCTCTTTTCTTTGCTATTAACATTTAAGTTAGCAATATATCTTGCAGAACAAGAAATTTTATCTTCTTGTTCAATGTGAATGGTGATACATATTCATGGAGCTAGAATTCTGATATAAATTCTTGATTGTTGTATAAATTAGAGTAATCATGCTAGCAAAAGCGGGGGAGAAAAAATTCACCAACGAAAATGAATCTTTTTTTAATTTCTTACTTTAGCAATTTTCAAAGATTGAAACCACGTGCGAGCACAAAATTTGGCAAGGGCCCAATCACATCAAAATATTTAATATTTTGCATTATTGAGGATAGAAAGTGAATTTCAGGTTGTTGATTTTTGAGTAAAACCTAAAAAGGTAGACAGATGTATTCTCCAAAAATGAAAAAGAAAAAGAAAAAGAAAAGGGAGAGAGATATATAAAATATAGAATAGGTTTAGGTAACAAGTTGTTTTCACGCGTCATATCTTAAAGAGGCAAAGCGTTTTCACTCATTCTTTTTGAAAGATTTGTCATAAACATGTGTTAATTTTGACAAACAGAAAGCAGCACTTATTTATTTTGTATTTGATACTTACAGAAAAGCGTATTAATTTTCAGGGCTATCGGATTTACTTGGGCAGGCAATTGGAGAATCATAAAGTCACAATATCCCGAATAGCTGATTTACTTGGGAATACAACCTCAGCCAAAAACCACTTGAATAAGTGCCTCTTCATTGTGGGAATAGGCAGCAATGACTACATCAACAATTTTCTAATGCCAGATATCTATCCAACAAGTCATTTGTACACACCAAGTCAATACGCAACAGTCTTGATAGAACAGTACTCCCAACAGCTAAAGGTTCGAATTAAACTTTTTTTTATTACATACACTTACATTTCTATTTTAATTATGAAAAATGAGAATACTTACATGGCTGATGTTGGAATTTTGTTGGTAGTAGGATTTGTATGAAGATGGAGCAAGGAAAATCACCCTATTTGGACTGCCCCAAATAGGTTGCATTCCAGATGAGTTGAAAAAACACAGCACACTTTTATGTGTTGATTCAACAAATGAGGCAGTTCAATTATTCAACCAAAACCTTAAAGCTCTTGTTGACGATCTTAATACCAATTTACCGGACGCACAATTCATATACATAAACATGTATAGCATTTCATCCGCAATTGGTATGTTAAACATTAGTTATATAAATATATACTATCCCTTTCTTATACAAAAAAAAAATTGTCACGTTTTATTTATTTATTTTCTTCTTTTTTCAGCTATAACTCTTTTGAATTATCCATGCTGCCAAGTTTCGAAGATCATGCCTGAAGGGCAATGTATTCCAGGAAAAGCTCCATGCCTTATTAGGCCTACACATCTCTTTTTTGATAATTTCCATCCCACTGAAATTGCCAATTCGATCGCTATAAATAGAGCTTACAATGCTCTTCTATCCTCTGATGCTTATCCTATGGACATTCGTCACTTGGTCACGGGCAACAAATTGTATTATGATCAGTAACTTTCGCGTATTTCACAATTTTCATGCATATTTGTAATAATCGCTTATGCTATAGAATAAGAATTTAAATCCAGTGTATCTTTTTGGATTGGATTAAAATTGATCATGTTCCAGATTGGTCTCTTTGAAATTATATATTGACATTTCAGTCTTTTTCTATAGGTATTTACAAAACAAATTACACGAGGGGAGGAACGAAACCAACTCGTACTTATTGTGCAGAAAGCTCACACATCGATACACTAGTATTTCACGGTTCCACCAATCAAAAATAAATATCCCCTATTTTGGCCGCCTACAGCTTTGACGACCCAAAATTTCACCACAGACGTCGTGATGGCACCTAGTCTCTAAGACTAGGTAAGCCGATTTTTATTACATTTCGAAGCCATTTTTATTTTTTTTATTTGAATATGAATTGAATAAGTAATCAAAACCAACAACAGAACAAATATGAATATAACAACCTCCCAAGACTGGTAGTACTGAGTCACGAACTCTAACTGAATACATGAAATGATCTCAAGGATCAAATACTCAATATTATTTGAATAATAAATAACAGTACAATAATATGGAAAGACTCCAAGGAGCTGCGACGACCAAGCAGCTCTACCTTGAATCCTTGCGATCCCACTCTAACTATGTTCGAGTCTGATAGCTCCAATACCCGACTATGCACAAAAATGTGCAGAAGTGTAGTATGAGTACCCAGTAAGTATCAAGACTAACCACAGTGGAGTAGAGACGAGGTACAATCAAGAAACTCACTAGTCCAATAACCTGTGCAATATAGTATACAAAATACTAGGAAACAAATAACAATAAGGGCAACACAAATCAACCAGTGATATCCCTGGCATGGCAGCAAGAACACTATTAATATTGCTCAATAAATAATAAATACAAGTACGCCCAATTAAATCAACTTCTTCAAATAAATATCTTTCACATATAATTCTTCCAAATAACTCTCTTTCAAATATAATTTCCTCAAATAAATATCTTTCACATATAATTCTTCCAAATAACTCTCTTTCAAATATAATTTCCTCAAATAAATATCTTTCAAATATAATTCTTTCAATAAATCTTTTTCAAATATAACTTCCCCAAGTAAATATCTTTCGAATATAAGTCACCGTGTGACACCTCATTTCAAAATCATAAAGTACAGGTCTCAGCCTAATTTCATATTTTTTGTAAACAAGGGTCTCAACCCTCTTTCATATTTTCACGGCACTTCGTGCCCATAATTAAATCTTTATATTTCCCCGGCACCTCGTGCCCATTTTTCCCATCTCAACTGCACGGACAATTCACGTGCCAATATCATCATTATTTACCCACGACACCTTGTGCCCATATTTCTTTTCACAATCCGTCTGGCAATAGCCACAGGCTCCCAATTTCAACATAATTCAGTTTGTTATCAATTTACCAACAACAAGACAAATTGCACAAGACATAAAAATAAACACAAGGAATACCCCAACATCACATGAAAATTACCAATACAATAACTCCACATCATCATATATCATCCCTAAGAATAGCCACCCTTATCTCTCCTATAGCCACCCTTATCGCTCCGCCCAGACAATATCCCAACACACATAACAACAGTGAAATGCCTCCCTTATGCCCCCATAATATCAACAGTGAAATGCCACCCTTATATCCTCAAAATAACAACTCACACAACACAACAATTTACATAAAAAATTATCACGGCAACATAACAAAATCAATTCATATCACAATTTGCCCAATGACCACAACCAATTTCAAAGATACAACCAAATCAATTAATTTCACAACAAATAGCCAAAGGCCTCACACAAAGTATAAAACCTCAAAAGCAATCAACAAAGATAGAAATTACTCAGCATAGAGCAACACTTTCATTAATCCAAATTCTCAATAATTATATAAACACTTCTTCTTAAGCTCATTTAATTAATTGTTTAAAGAGAAAAAATCCATAATAAAATTAAATTCCAAGAAATATCAAACCAACAAACTCATAGAATTACATACATATTCAAGTAACAATCACATCAAATTGTCATATGAAACAAATTCAACAACAAGGATTTAGACATGGCAAATAGATGATTTAATAAATACCAATAATTATCCAATTTACTACACAATAATGCCTTAAGACTTTAACCCAATAAAATTTGCACATATAAGCCCAAGTACGTACTCGTCACCTCGCGTACATGGCTTTTCACATTACATAAATGGCACTTAAGAATCGATGCCTAAGGGGTAATTCCCCCACTCGAGGTTAGGCAAGACACTTACCTTTTTGAAGTTATGCTGATTTTTCAAAATCGCCTTCTTACTTGAATTGACCTCCGGACAGCTCAAATCTATCCAAATTAATTGTACAACTTCATTAAAATTCATCGAAAATAATTCCGGATAATAATATGTCGACTTAAAATTTTATTCCAAAAAGTCAACAAAAGTCAACACGAGGCTCACCTCTCGGAACCCGACATAATTTTTACAAAATCCGAACAGTCATTCCGATACGAGTTCAACCATATCAATTTTATCGAATTCCAATAACAACTCGACCTCCAAATCTTAAATTAAACCAAGAGGGTTTTCATAATTTTTCCAACTTAATTCATCGATTAGATGTTAAAAACGACCATGGATTCGGATAATTTAACCAATATTGAGTTAAGAACACTTACCCCATTGTTTTCCTTAAAAAACTCCCGAAAATCGTCTCTTCCCGAGCTTAATGTTTCTGCCCAGGCATCAAAGCATCGCGATCGCGGAACATCAAACGCGATCGCGAAGAAGGAAAAGAGTATTGCCCAGCTTGTACTTCGCGAACACGACAACACGCTCGCAAACACGGAGAAGAAAAGTCTGATGGCTCATGACTGGCCTACGCGAACTCGGGAAATAGTACGCGAACGCAAAGAATGGGATGGCATACCTTCGCGAACGCGTAACGAAGGATGCGAACGCGTAACGAAGGACGCGAACACGAAGAGGAAGTAGTCACCAGTGCCCAACTCCTATTTTCTTCTACGTGAACATGATGAGATAGCTGCCAACGCGAAGAAGGGAAAGACAGAAGTACGTGATCATGGAAGTAAGCTCGCGAACGCGAAGAATAAATAATTCCCCTTCCAAAATAACATTACGCGAACGCGGACTAGGAGGAAATGTGCAGAGCTACGCGATCGCGAGGCATATTACGCGAATGCGAAGAAGGAAATTGAGGTGGTCAGCAGAGACACTTTGCGATCACGAAGAAGGACATTAGACACCAGAACCAGCAGTTCAAGAATAGAAGGAAATGGTCTGTAGCCCATCCGAAACACATCCGAGGCCCCCGGGACCCCGTCTAAACACACAAGCAAGTTCCATAACCTAACACGGACTCACTCGAGGTCTCAAATCACATTAAACTATGCCGAAAATACAAATCACATCCCGAATCGAACTTATGAACTTACAAAACTTTCAACTTCTAAAACTCGTGTCGAAACCTATCAAACCAACCCAGAATGACGTTAAATTTTGCAGGCAAGTCCCAAATAACATAACGCAGCTATTCCAACTCTCGGAATCACATTCCGACCTCGATATCAAAAAGTCCACTTCCGGTCCAAAACTCCAAAAATTCGACTTTTGCCATTTCAAGCCTAAATCAGCTACAGACCTTAGATTCACAGTGCGGACACGCTCCTAAGTCCATAATCACCCAACGGAGCTAACGGCCCCTACGGAACTCCATTCCGAAGTCGTCTTCACACAGTTTCGACTACGGTTAAAATCCTTAGACTTAAGCTTCCTTTTTAGGGACTAAGTGTCCTAAATCACTCCGAATTATCTGGTAACTGAGTTCAACCACGCACGCAAGTCAATACACATAATACGAAGCTGCTAAGGGCCTTATGCCACCGAACGGGACTTAAATTCTCAAAACGACCGGTCGGGTCATTATATTCTCCACCTCTTAAACAAACGTTCGTCCTCGAACGTGCTAAGAATTATTCCGAGGTTACCAAATTGATGATTTTACTTTTACACATACTCACGGTTGATCCTACGTTACCGCATTTGAGATAAGCCCGACAACTCCATCTCAATTGAGATTATTTCTTTTATCTATATTTGTAAAGTTTAAGACCAATTTATTACACTTCAAACATTTTCAAAAGACCGGTTTTTTTACAACGCACGGTATTAGTCTCAACTTGCTATAGCAACTCATGTCTACGCACACATCAACTTTCTTGATAGTGTTGAAGTACTTCAAAATTTTTCTAGGGTGTTACATTCTCCCCCGCTTAGGGTCATTCGCCCTCAAACACATAACATAACTTATTTCTTCTTTTTTTCACGTCTAAATCCCCCAAATTTTACTAACTCCCAAATTTTTTAGAATTTTTCGGCAGAGTCTCCCCTGTAATTCGCCTATCCACCTGTTAGAGTAATACCAAAACAACTCCTAACAACACATCCACAACCCAACAAGGTACCACAATGTATATATCAATAACACTAATCTCAACATTACAAGCACTGCATTATCATAATAATGTCAGGACATGAATCACATCATATGTATGCCCATCACCACATCTCTGGTCTTAATAGTTGTTCATAATTGATTACAACATTGCCAATTAACCTCATATTAGCTAAAACCCAGTTTCAAATTTTCATAACACTAGCAGCAAAATGTGAGGCATGAAAACCTCATAACTATTTACCTTACTTAACGAGTCACATTTAACGTCACCTGGGCACTCACCTCGTAGGCTACAACTCAATAATTAAAGCACAATTATGGCACAGAAACACATAAAGAATTATCACATAAGCCTATCATGCATAACTCCCTATTAGTACTATAGTACAAATTAATCTTCACAAAGGGAGAATTTAAACTCATAATTATTTCACCACGAGGACCTCGTCCTTATATAACATCCGCTGCGGCTCGTAGCCAAGTTTAAATATTTCACATCATATAAAAATGCGAGGATCTCGTCCTCAACTCCGAATCACAAGTATTTTGCACATTGTGCCAACGAAAATTTCAATTTCAATTTCCTTTCTTTCTTCTATTCAATAAAT